GACTGGTCTAAGTCACTGATCATCCCAGTCTTCAAGAAAGGCGAGAAGTCCTCTTGTGATAACCACAGAGGAATCAGCCTGACAAACATAGTGTCTAAGATCCTAAGTTCTATAATTCTCCGACGCCTGAGTGGAGCTCGGGAACAGCAAGCCCGAGAAAACCAGGCAGGCTTTAGACCTGGCCGTGGATGTATCGACCAAATATTCACACTGCGCCAGGTCCTGGAACATAGGCATGCTTACAGACGCCCGACAATAGCTGTATTTCTCGACCTGAAGGCGGCATTTGACTCCGTTGATCGAGAAGTCTTATGGCAGTGTCTGTCACTGAAAGGCGTGCCTAGTAAGTACATCACCTTATTGAAAGCTCTCTACTCGAACACTTGTGGGCATGTTAGAGCCTATGGTGAGTTGTCCAGGGAGCTATACTCATCAAGTGGTGTCCGTCAAGGATGCCCACTATCCCCATTCTTATTTAATTTTATCATAGATATTCTTATGGAGGTTTCCCTCTCGTCACCTAATTACAAAGACGTTGACCGAATCACAGGTGAATTTTCCTTAGATCTAGAATATGCAGATGACATAGTCCTGTTAGGTGAAGACGCTGACAAGATGCAGAGTCTTCTGAACACTTTGAGTGGGAATTTGAGAATGTTTGGGATGCGATTTTCACCACCCAAATGCAAATTTTTGCTCCAGGACTGGTCTTCAGCGGTACCGCGGTTAACAATAGAGAGTGAAGTGGTTGAGTGTGTTGACCACTTCACTTACCTGGGAAGTAGGATCAACCCGGTGGGTTAGTTGCCGATGAGATTTCTGCACGGATACAAAAGGCTCGATTGGCTTTTGCCAATTTGCGCCACCTATGGCGCCGCCGTGATATTCGTTTGTCTATTAAGGGTCGCGTGTACTGCACAGCAGTCCGCTCTGTTCTACTGTATGGCTGTGAAACATGGCCATTGAAAGTGGAAGACATGAGAAGGTTTCAGGTGTTTGACCACCGTTGCCTTCGTAGTATAGGACGTATTCCGTGGTGTCACCATGTGAGTAATGCAGAAGTTAGGTGTAGAGTTTTGGGGAGAAGAGGTAAGTCAGTCGACGAGGTTGTGAACCTTCATCGACTGAGATGGTTGGGACACGTACTACGTATGCCTAGTCACCGATTGCCTCGTCACACAATGTTGGCTGAAGTGGGTCCAGGCTGGAAAAAGGCCCGAGGTGGCCAGACTAAAACATGGCACCAATGTATGAAGTCTCTGACTGTTGGTTTAAGCCATGTAGGGGACGATGCAGACTAGGTGGTTGGGGTCCGCGAGACAAGAGGAACCAGTAGTTGGAGACTCTATGTGATATGGTTCAGAACCGATATCAGTGGTGCAGATGTATACACACATTATCCTCATCTTAACCGCTCTACCTAATCTCATCTCATTCTTCCTCCCTCTCTTTTTCTACTTTCTACTTCTCTTTCCTTTGACCGATTTTTCTTTCCTTCTTCGTCTTCCATTTTATTGCCCTGTTACTTGTTCTGATGTGATATGCGGCAACATAAACCGTTACGCAGTAATGCTTGGTCCTATGTTGATCTTGATGATGATGACGATTAGGTTTTGAGAATTGTCGTAAATCGAGTGAAATCAGCTAGTCGATTGTTTTATTCCTCTAAGCACTAATCATTTGAACACCCCTGCGTGTATCTTATTCATATTTGCCTTTTTGATTGGCCATCGTTTTCTAATCTGCTCGTACAGTCAATTTTTACTTCATAACAGAAGTAGAGATATGTCTGATCGTCGTAATTAACTTGTATAAGTGGGAAAAGTCCTGTCATCAATTCGCTACCCATCTTATGGATAAATTTCATTGCGTTGACTTTTGAAAGTCTAAACCAGCAGCAGTGCTTTATGTGTGTAAAACACAGTTCCATAAATATGCTGTCATCAAAGCATTTGAAGGCTTGATGAAGCAATTGCCTGGAGTTTCAAGCAGAATTTATTGGTCATAATCATACCAAAGTGAGCAATAAATTCTGATCGTAACATCATTCAATAAATAATACTGTATCACTGCGCGCAATGTCAAATCAACAATCTAATATAGAGTTATTCTCTACCACAGTGCCCAAAGTTTACTCTTACATTGCGTAATAAGTCATAACTTTGGATCGGTACCATCGTATTGCCCATTTTTAAAATCTATCTACTAACGTATGTGTATATGATCACTTAGGTTGTTGGTTTACTATTGGTCGTACCTAAAATGCAGGCCAATGTCATAATACACAGACTCTAAAAAGCACATTAGAAAAGGTGGATTGCGATGGCTAAGTGATTCGTCCAGATTTTGGATACACTGAGTACACGTGCTTACCCTTAATCATATGCGTACGCATTTATCATAAACCAACTGCCTTTTATAAACATGCACACCATAGTTGTTAAGAATGTTCTGAACACCGAATCTGACTAGATAATTTTGGTAAAATATACTCTTTTAACTGTCTTTTTATCAATAATATTAGGATTATATAAGAAAGTTTTATTGTAATCCCAGGGTGTTCAGAAAATCAAAAGATTTTTCGGAACGTTTCTTTGTATATACGACAGCTTCTTCAGTAGGATTGCCTTCCGATCGTCAGACAAGACTACAGTTTGATATTGTCTTTCAGTGAAGTATGCTCTAAATAGTCTTCTAATACTTGTAAGGTGTATTAGGAAACTATAGGAAAGGCGAAGAAATACAACTACCTTTCTCCAACGATCCAAAACAGTAATCAAATGAAGGACAGACAAATAAAATCAACGTAGAACCTCGCACATAAGTGGATCGACTCCAGTTGCCGTAGTATACAAACAACAAGTCGATGGAAAAAGTGATATCAAATTCGGATGGCCAGAACAGACAAAATCAACATAGAATCAAGCATTACTGCATAATGGTCCAAGTTGCCACACTTCATATCAGCATATCAAGTGAAAATGCAATAAGATGAAAGGTAAGGAACTAAAGAAAAAAGTATTGAAAAGTGGTACGAAGTAATGAAAATAGAGGAAGGAGGAATGAGAAGACGCTGAATTCAGCATGACAACTAAGGTGATGATGACATCTGCGCCAATGACACCGATTCTGAGTCATATCACCTAAAGTCTCCAACCACTAGTTTCTGTTGTTGTGTGGACCCCAACCGGGAAGACTGCATTCCTCTACACGACTCAGGACAACAGTTAATGACTTCATGAAGTGATGCTACGTTTTCGCCTGTTTGTCCCTCAACTTTCCCCAGCATGAACCTACTTCGGGCAACATTTCGCGACGAGGTAGATGGTGGCTAGGCATGTGTCACATATTTCCCAACCACCTGACTCCATGAAGGTTCACAGCCTCATTGACAGACTTTCCTCTCCTTAAAATTCTAAATCTGACTCCTAGATTGCTGACGTGGTGACACCACGGCACACAGTCTACGCTACAAAGGCAGCGGTGGTCAAACTCCTGAAGCCTCCTGCTCTGTGTCTTGTTTCACAACCATATAGTAGAAAAGAGAGAACTGCAGTGAATTACACCCACCCTTGATCGGCAATCAGATATCATGGCGGGACCATAAATCGCACTATTTGGTGAATCTCAATCTACTTTTTTTTATCCGTGCGGAGGTTGCGTCGGTCACTGACCCACCTATCGGGGCTAGTCAACGTGCTCAATCACTTCCACTCCTATTTTTAAACAAGTCCTGGAGCAACAATTTGCATTTGGGTAGCTAGAAAGGCATCCCAAACATTCTTAAATTGTCACTCAATGTGTAGGAAAAGTTTTGTGAGACCAAGTGAAGTATTATTTCACCATTTGTCTACCAGTTTACTATTTATAGAATCTTTGAAAACTGGCAAAGGTGTGTAGTCATAATATAGATCCATCACCCAGAGTAAATGAAAGACGTATTACTGTTTAGTATCATGAAGGATATTTGGGTCGTATCTAATCGGTTGGTAATGTGCCTATAAGCAATGTATGTACTTTAGACTGCTGAAGATTAGCAGGTGTGCGCCTTAGTTCACTGCTGGCGTAGTACTGTTAAACATAGTCTAGAAGTTTATGTTTTTTTGGTACTTGTGTGAATGCTGGTAGATGCGTGATGGAAGAGGTTTCCGTACCACATAGCGAGATGACCGTCAAAAGTAGGTGCAAAGATACCGTAGGTTTTTGACCACAGGTGTCTTCGTAGCACTGTTTGCGTATGATAGAATCACCATATGAGCAATATCGAGGTTCGGCGTAGGATACTAGACGAGTTGGTCGATGAGGTTGTGAATCCTGAATAACTGAGTTGTGCATGCCGAGTCACCGCTTCCTCGACTTCCAATGTTAGGTAAAGTTGGATTAGGTTGGAAAAAGGTTCGAAATGGCCCAACTATGACATCGTGCCAGTTAATGAAGTCTCTGACTGTTGGTGTGAGTTGTGTAGGGAGGTATAGATTGCCTGGCCGAGGTCCTCAAGTTTATAAGAGCCAGTGGTTGGAGACCCTTAATGAAATGGCTAAAAATCCGTTACAGTGGCTCAGATGTATTTACTCTGATGTCTTCTAAAGCTTGAACATTTTCCTCCAATACACCTTTATCTACTTTGATATCAGTCTTTTTGTATCCACTTATTCTTTGGTTGGTGCCTTGACGAAGTATAGCAACTTACGTCGACACACTTCTGTGCTAGGGTCTACTTTGATTTCGTCTGTCTGTCTGTACTTTGAAAATCCTGATCGGCATATACTAGTCACATCAGTTTTAGCCGCATCATGATCTTTGTCTCACTTGAAGTTCTGATATTAATATCCAATTTTAGCATTAATAATTGTTAACAACTCAATTCTCATACTTTCGATGAAAGCGTGAAAGCATTAACACATTGAATGGTAACACTTGTTTGCTAGGGTTTCGTTAGTTCATGGTGAATAACTTCCATAATTTATTTGTTTTGTGCACCGATTTTCATACTTCAACAGCAAAAAGATGGAAGTTTCACTGGGGATGTTTGGGGTGAAATCGATACTCGTTTCTCATTTTGTGCTGTTGCTATACTCCACATACTTGGTATGCTTTCAAAAGATATTATTGATGTTGAAGCATGTGCTTCATATCTTGAACAATGTCAAAATTTGGATGGTTGTTTTGGTACTCGACCAGGTAGTGAATCTCATGCAGGTCAAGCATACTGTGTTGTAGGAGCTTTAGCCATACTCCGTCAACTACGTCGGTTAAATATAGATCGTGCTGCCTGGTGGTTAGCAGAACGTCAACTTCCTAGTGGAGGGTTAAATGGAAGACCTGAAAAACACCCTGATGTTTGTTACTCGTGGTAAGTTCAGTGATTTTCTTTTTTCATGGATGATTTATCACCATTATCGAGGTCTATGTGGAAAACTTGCTTCCACATAGCGAGCACAATGGCTTTTGCATTCAGTTCACTAACGAATAGGTAGATAAAAAGCACAATAAGACTATCTGGGTGCCATTACGTGTTTCAATTGTTGTTCTAGTAATTTCAATCACATCGTAGTCTACTTTTTGGTTAGCCGTGGAATCCAGGACGCAAACCTCGCCCTATTTGAGGCCCGCCGTCTGGATGCGCCTGCATCCTAGTGAGTAAATTTTCAGACAGTATCGAGGCGTCCGCATTATAGCTCATCTGCCAATAAAGGTCGTGCAATTCAACCCAGCATAACATCAAGAAAGCAATAGACAACTGATACCTCTCGTGCCACAGTGGCTTAGTAGATAATGCGTTGACGTTCGAAGCTTTGGGTACTGTATTCGAGTCTCAGTGGGAACATCACTCATTAGGATGCAGGTGCATCCAACCCGCGAATCCCGGATAGGACGAAACGCGCGCCCTGAATTCTACTGCTAGTTACCAAGTGGACAACAATATAATGAATATTCGGGCAATATCCAAGCCTATATGCCAACTGAAGTTGAACAATTCAACCCAGTATAGCAACGGGAAATTACAAGTGTCAACTTCAATCAAATTCTTTATATATTGAAAATGTTTTACAGAGGAGGAATAGGCTAGTTCAAAGGTATTTAGAAATATCTGTTTTGTTGCTTCGATGTTATTTACCTTTTTGTATCCAGTTATATCCTTCAGCACTACGAATGTGCTACATTATTGCACAATATATGTAGCTTCAATTGGTCGCCTTTATTCTGAACCCATTCATCTCGGTTGTATTGCTTACTATCTTTGAGAATGCACTATTTTTCGAACTTCCTGTGGTTGAGTTCGTCTAAGTTTGATATTATTATTATTATTATTATTATTATTATTATTATTATTATTATTATCATTATCATTATCATTATCATTATTATTATTATTATTATTATTATTATTATTATTATTATTATTATTATTATTATTATTATTATTATTATAGTCCCTTGGGTTCCTAATGGAACATAGAGCTTCAGTAGCACGTCTCCAGTGAACTCTGTTCTCTGAAATCTTTTCAACCTGGCTCCATGACAGCCCACAAGCTCTCATTTCCTCCTCCCACGATCTCCTCCATGTCACCCTTGGACATCCAACTCGTCGCTTCCCATGGGGATTCCACTCGAGGGCCTGACGCATGATGTCCCCAGTCGGCCTTCTCAATGCATGCCCAATCCATCTCCACTTCCTTCTGCATATTCGTTGGGTGATAGGTTCTTGGTTGGTTCGTTCCCAGAGCTCCTTGTTGCTTATTCTTGTTATTCTGGCCATCTGATCTTCAGTAACGAGCCAGCGTATGCAGTTGTTGATGAATGTGTGTAGTTTATTGGAAATCCCTTTCGTAACGCGCCAAGTCTCTGAACCATACAGAAGCACTGACTTGACGTTGGTGTTGAAAATCCGTATCTTGTTCCACATGCTGAGTGCAGTGCAGAAGATCTCCACACTGGTTTCAGGCTAATGAACGCCTGTCTTGCTTTTCCGATTCTGACTTTGACATCCTCGTCTGTGCCGCCTGTAGTTGAAAAAGTGCTTCCTAGGTAGGTGAAGGAGGTTACTTCCTTTAAGTTTCTCCCGTTGATGGTGACTGGAGTTTGTTGTTGTTGGTGCGGTATCTTCATCACCTCTGTCTTATCTATATTCACCTGAAGTCCCGTCTTCGCTAACCTGCCTCTTCTGTCAACTTGTTAGTTTTCGCCTGTAGATCTTCAAGTTTGTGTGACATCAGGCACAAGTCGTCGGCGAAATCCAGATCTTCTAGGTTCTTTTCCGCAGTCCAGCCAGTGTATCCCCCTCTTCTCACAGCTCCCCACTGTTTGCTGCATGATCCAGTCGACGACAATCAGGAATATCATGAGTGATAGTAGGCCACCTTGTTTCACTCCTGTCTTCACTTCAAAATCATCACTGAGCTTCCCACTGTGAATTACTCGGCATGTGGCGCCTTCATATAGTTGTTGAATGAGGCTGATAAAGGTTTGTGGTATTCCGTAGTAGTGAAGCAGTTTCCAAATTACCTCTCGGTCGGCGCTGTCAAAGGCCTTCTCAAAGTCGATAAAGTTGAGGTGTAGAGTTGACTGCCATTCTATACTCTGTTCTATGATGATGCGTAGAGTAGAGTTGCAATTCGGTCGGCACATGATTTGAACTTCCTGGATCCAGCCAGCCTGTTCCGGTTGTAGTTTTGAATCCAGTGCATCCTTTAGCCTCTCCAGGATGATGCGGCTTAATATTTCACTTGCACTGGGTGGACAGGAGAGTGATTCCGCGCCAGTTCTTGCAAACACTGAGGTCTCCCTTCTTCGGGAGTTTGACAAGGTAACCCTTCTTCCAATCGCCAGGTACCTTCTCTTCCTTTAAGTTTGATATACTGAAGTATATTTATCCTTTCACTGTTCCTGTAATTGACTAGATACTGGATTCGCTTAGTTTTTAGTTCATTACAAATCAGTTTGACACTGGTCCACTTATGATAATTTCAAGTTCTTGTTCATCGTAGATTGACATCATTTGGAGGAACAAAAGAAACCTGGGAGCACTGGACAGCTGTTTCGTCCTAATATGGGACTCCTCAGCAGTGCGCACCCATGACCCCGCCAGGGGTCGAACCCGTGACCTCCAGGTTCTGTGACCAGCACGTCACCAGTGAGCTAGCCACCGGGTCAGAATCCAATGCTCCATATTTCCAGCTTCTGTCAGCTCATTATAATTTACTTGGTTATCACCAGCAGGGGAGTCCAGGATGCGCGTCTCGTCTTACTTGAAACTCATCAGCTGTACGTACCCGTATAGAGGAGCCCATATGCCAACAGAGGTGAAACAATTCGATCCAGTATAACAACGGAGAATTACAAGTGTATCAACAAATAGTAATGGTTCACTTGTGTTCAGAGTACTTAAAAAGTCTGAAGAATCTCTATCATCCTTGGTGACCAATAATTGAGGCCAATAAACAAGAGCGTTCGTATTCCACACTTCCTGTTACTCATTACAAACGCGTACCTGTAGCTTCGGTAAGGGTTTTACTTCTCAAAAACATTGAGGCCTGAATCAAGAATCACTATGATCCCGTATACATTATTTAGAGCGTGAATAGGTATAGCACTTTTTGAGTTTTTAAGGGGAAATCATTTACCGTGAGGTTCCAGACAATAAGTTAGACACCTAGATCTAAGGTTACTTTCAATCATTCAACACAAAATACAGTTTTACCATAATGACAAGTCGAATTAAATTAGTGTGTGTAGCTACATCAGATCTGTGAACGATAATATATCTAACTAGCTAATGCGGACTAAGTAATATGATATGAGTTCAGTTTTAAGCCCACTAATCGATATACATTAGCTGGTTTCGGACTACTGGATCGAGAATCATCGCTATGGGAATGTTTTTTGATCGATTTCTGAATTCAGTCAATTGTTAATAGCTTAATTGGCATAGTTCAAGTTCGATACTGGCATAGATTTATGCACTGTTTGTCGTCTTCAACATCTTGAGTATTTTGTTAACCTTCATTTATTCATTATCTCATCTTTCTTTTACGTTTTTCTATACACTTCTTCCTTTGTCTACTACTCCCGACCGATAGCTGCTACCTTGACGTGGTGGTCGGGCTTGCATATCACAATGACCCAACGAGCTATGCTGGTGGAACGCTTGTTCCCTCGAGGTCCTACCATACCAGAAAGGTCTGTTGGGTAGTGGTTAGACGAAAAGCAGTTACCGTTATAGTGTAAATTGCTACACTATGATGGGGGTCTGAGGGCGAAGTCGTACTGCTGCTAGCTGGATGGGGTGTGACAGCAGTAAGGTGTTTCCCTTGGATGACCAGCAGTGCCAAGCTGATGCTGCCTTCTCAGTGGAAGGGGGGGTTAGAAAAGGTCGGCCCCAAAAATAACACACTCCACCACGCCCCACGGTCTGCCGGGCCGGCGGTGTTGGTTCACTTGTCGTTTCCTTTCGACCATCCGGCCCCAAAAATACAAAATTCAAAATAATCATACTCAAAAGGCTGGGTGTGACAGGCCTCAAGCAGATGTCCGATGGGCTCTGCGGTCACACAAATCTCTTTCAGGTACCTTAAGAAGAAATAGCCTTCCACGGTGTGGGCAGCCGGGAAGTGTCAACCGCCCTCACAACTCTGTCAGCACCCAAGTTTCTTCTGACTGCTATCCTCCTCCTCCATCATTACCTTCTAATCTTCCTTCACGTCTCTTAATTAATGATGCTGCATCATCTTCAATTTCTCCTACCTCTGCAGCCTTCGACAACGATCTGAGTCCACAGAACAGCATCCCTGGTCTCCTTAAACCACGCTCCAAATTACATATTGGAGCCTTCAATGTCCGCACCCTCCGTCAAATTGGCCAACAGGCTTCGTTGGCAAAGACTCTAGCAACTCGGGCATGGATGTGTGCTGTGTTTGTGAGACACGCATACAGGACCCAAGTGTGGTTATTCACCTGACCTCTCCTGACCAATCTGGTGAATCTGCAAAATTCACCCTTCGAGTTTCTGGAGATTCGATAGCTAGCTCTCGTGGTCTTGCAGGTGTAGGTATAGCATTAAGCACCAGGGCAGAAAACTCACTACTAGACTGGATCCCAGTTGATAGTCGCCTCTGCGCTATGAGGCTGAACGGCACAGTGAGAACTAAAAGGAATAGTGAGACTCGCCGTTGTCTCTTTGTAATCTCTGCTTACGCACCCACTGACTGTAGTTCGGATGAAGTGAAGGACGAGTTCTACCATAAACTGTCTAACCTCCTCTCGAAAGCCAAACGTTCGGACGTAGTGGTTGTTGCAGGTGACCTCAACGCACAGGTGGGTAGACTGAGTGAGGCAGAAAGGCACTTAGGTGGCACTTTCGGAATCCCAGCTGAACGTACAGATAACGGTGATCGCCTATTACAACTATGCTCAGATAACCGCCTATTTTTAGCCAGCACAAATTTCAGACATAAAGAAAGGCACTGTCTGACCTGGCGTCCACCGAGCTCGACTCAGCGATGGACACAGATAGACCACATTGCTATTAGTCATCGCTGGAGAGGATCGGTGGAAGACTGCCGCTCCTTCTGGAGTACGTGTTTGGACAGCGATCATGCGTTGGTCCGAGCACGTATATGCCTGCGTCTCAATGGACGTAGAAAAAATTTGGCAACAAAACCACTACGAGTTCTGCTGGACAACGAAAACACCAAAGCCGTGTTCAGTGAGAAGTTGGCTAGGCAGTTATCGGAACAAAAGACTGTCACTCATCCAGAAGAAGCTTGGTGCCATCTTCAGTCTACTGTAAAAGCAGCACTGGAGACTGTAGCCGACTCCAAGATAATGGCTAAAAAGAGCCAGTGGATATCAGCAGCTTCTTCCAAACTAATGGATGCACGTGAATGCATCCCTGCAGGCTCTGAGTACAATGAAGAGCGAGCGCAACTTAAAAATAAACTGACGAAAAGTCTGCGCAACGATCGTGAACAGTGGTGGGCAGCAAAGGCTAAAGAGATGGAAAAGGCAGCGGCGATCGGTAACAGTAGACAGTTATTTAGACTTATTAAGGAGACTGGGGGGAAATGGTCAACAACAGTTAGTGAGGTTATAGCGGAGAAGGACGGATCTGCGATTCACTCGCAGGGAAGGCGACTGGGACGATGGGCAGAACACTTTGAGGAACAGTTTAACTGGCCTCCAGCCACCATTGCGCTGCCCGCTATCCAGTCGGACCCTGAATGGGACATAGAGACAGGTCCCCCAACACTAGAAGAAGTTGAGAAAGCGGTAGGTAACGAGGAAGGGCAGCAGGACCAGACGGACTACCTGCTGAGGTATACAAGAATGGTGGTAGAGTTCTCTTAGTCAGGCTAACGGAAGTGTTAGCCAGTATATGGGAATCAAATACGATCCCCTCCGACTGGTCTAAGTCACTGATCATCCCAGTCTTCAAGAAAGGCGAGAAGTCCTCTTGTGATAACCACAGAGGAATCAGCCTGACAAACATAGTGTCTAAGATCCTAAGTTCTATAATTCTCCGACGCCTGAGTGGAGCTCGGGAACAGCAAGCCCGAGAAAACCAGGCAGGCTTTAGACCTGGCCGTGGATGTATCGACCAAATATTCACACTGCGCCAGGTCCTGGAACATAGGCATGCTTACAGACGCCCGACAATAGCTGTATTTCTCGACCTGAAGGCGGCATTTGACTCCGTTGATCGAGAAGTCTTATGGCAGTGTCTGTCACTGAAAGGCGTGCCTAGTAAGTACATCACCTTATTGAAAGCTCTCTACTCGAACACTTGTGGGCATGTTAGAGCCTATGGTGAGTTGTCCAGGGAGCTATACTCATCAAGTGGTGTCCGTCAAGGATGCCCACTATCCCCATTCTTATTTAATTTTATCATAGATATTCTTATGGAGGTTTCCCTCTCGTCACCTAATTACAAAGACGTTGACCGAATCACAGGTGAATTTTCCTTAGATCTAGAATATGCAGATGACATAGTCCTGTTAGGTGAAGACGCTGACAAGATGCAGAGTCTTCTGAACACTTTGAGTGGGAATTTGAGAATGTTTGGGATGCGATTTTCACCACCCAAATGCAAATTTTTGCTCCAGGACTGGTCTTCAGCGGTACCGCGGTTAACAATAGAGAGTGAAGTGGTTGAGTGTGTTGACCACTTCACTTACCTGGGAAGTAGGATCAACCCGGTGGGTTAGTTGCCGATGAGATTTCTGCACGGATACAAAAGGCTCGATTGGCTTTTGCCAATTTGCGCCACCTATGGCGCCGCCGTGATATTCGTTTGTCTATTAAGGGTCGCGTGTACTGCACAGCAGTCCGCTCTGTTCTACTGTATGGCTGTGAAACATGGCCATTGAAAGTGGAAGACATGAGAAGGTTACAGGTGTTTGACCACCGTTGCCTTCGTAGTATAGGACGTATTCCGTGGTGTCACCATGTGAGTAATGCAGAAGTTAGGTGTAGAGTTTTAGGGAGAAGAGGTAAGTCAGTCGACGAGGTTGTGAACCTTCATCGACTGAGATGGTTGGGACACGTACTACGTATGCCTAGTCACCGATTGCCTCGTCACACAATGTTGGCTGAGGTGGGTTCAGGCTGGAAAAAGGCCCGAGGTGGCCAGACTAAAACATGGCACCAATGTATGAAGTCTCTGACTGTTGGTTTAAGCCATGTAGGACGATGCAGACTAGGTGGTTGGGGTCCACGGGACAAGAGGAACCAGTGGTTGGAGACCCTAGGTGATATGGCTCAGAACCGAAGTCAGTGGCGCAGATGTATACACACATTATCCTCATCTTAACAACGCTATACCGAATCTCACTATTTTGTCACTCCTCTTTCCTTTCTTCTTGTACTTTATATTTCTTTTGACTGCATTCACTTATCTTCATCCTTCACCTCACTACCTTTTTACTTGATGTGCTGATATGAGGTGTGGCAACTCGGACCGTTACGCAGTAATGCCTGGTCCTATGTTGATATTGGTTGTATGTTACTGTAAAATGTTATAAGTTGGAGCTATTCATTAGTTTATCACTGCCACAGCCTAAACTACGTCGAATTTGTTGTATTTTTTTTGAGAATGAAAGGATGAGTTTGTTTTTCAATTTATGTTTAGGTGGGCTGTAGCTACTCTTACCATTCTTGGTCGTTTAACCTGGATCAATCATAGTGATCTAACCCGGTTCATTTTAGCCTGTCAAGATACTCAAACTGGTGGTATTGCTGATCGACCAGGTAATTTGCCTGATGCCTTTCATACTTTATTTGGTCTTGCTGGTCTCTCTCTTATGGCTCATATGGATTCAAATTTCTGTTTATCAAAAAATTTGGTAAATGGTGAAAATGAAGAAAATGATGAAGGTGACTCAGCTGTGATTGCATTAAAAGTTGCTCGAAATAAATTAAAATCAATAAATCCAGTATTATGTATGCCTCAGTATGTAATGGATCGATTAAATCTTAAATTTCAACTTCTTTAATCATTCATTGGACATAAATGATTTAAACTGTTGAATAATACACATTTCAATTCTTTTTAATTGTTTGTCCTTGAGATGTTATATGGTACTCATAGTTCAAGGTTATCTTGAGAAATCTATTTTAAATATGTTATCTACAAAATCTATGAAAAATTGTATCATATGATACATTCCCCCCAATCTATTCTATCAAATCAATTTACTTCTCATTATTTTGTACGGTTCGGATGATTTTGTTTAAGTAAGTTAATTTTTTTAAAAAAAAAGATTTTTATAAAACTGTTTTTGGATTTTTCAAATATTTTATCCATAGTTTGTTATAGTGAAAACTTACTTATCTCCACTTACCTATGAGAATGGTTTGTTGTTATATAGTTGAAAATCTTTGCTTTCTATCGCTGTTACTCCCTTATGAACAAGATATTTCACTAGAGGGTGGTGTATTGGTGTATTGAAAGTTACATCAGTCAATAGTCTGTGAGAGTTAGAAGATTTGAATGTATTTCAGAAGATTTTTTTAAAAAAAAACGTTCATATTATATAACTAGTTATAATCGATAATGGGGAAGTTGAAGGAAGAGTCGAGGGAAAAAGGAGTCGAAAATTATACAGATAGACAAAATCGTATAGTTTGTAGTAGTGTACAAAAAAACAACTGGATAGAAAATGACTGATATCAAAGTAGACAAAAATGTATAGTAGCCAAATATTCAAGCTTTACAAGACTTCATTGTAACTGATTTTCAGGCATTTCAGCAAGAATTCCCAATCGCTTATTCCTGCCTACAGTCTCATGGTCGACTTTCTGCACAGCTCAGCCCAACAGTCAGAAAATTCATCTACTGGTGCCACTTCTTGGTTAGTTTGTTCCCCCAACCTCAAGGTGAGGTAGACGGTGGCTCAAAATCCACAGTACATGTTCTATTCACCTCAGTTGATGTAAGATTACAACCTCATCGACTGACTTGCTTCCTTTGCCTACTAACCTTTTGCTCACATGGTGATTCAAGCATATGTGAGCAATGGTACGAAGACATCTGTGATCAAAAACTTGTAACTGCCTCGCATCTACTTTTACAACTGTATAACAAGAAAGGAACCTCGCCTGGTTAACTAGTTTACTAGTTACTAGCCGGTCCTAAGCCCGGGTAAAGAGGGAAGGTTGGGCATAGGGCTAGCAACCCTACCCCGTAAAACAAATCTAACCGCTAAAGAAACTTCAAAGCACAAACAAAATATAAAAAATGAAAACAAACTTATACCCCGCTGGAATCGGAGAGGCGAAATGACGCCACTCGGTGAAAGCCTTCGGGAAGCCAATTGGCCGATGTGTCTTCTCTCGATGAAAGCGAAAGTAAACGTGGGGACATGGAATGTCCGTACTATGTTTGAACCCAGTAAGGCAGCCCAGATTGCAAAGGAGATGAGAAGGTATCACATCGAAGTGCTTGGGATTTGCGAAAGCAGATGGAATGGGAGTGGACTCTCCAAACTGTCAACTGGAGAATCAATAATCTACTCCGGTCACCCAGACGCCAACCACGAGCACACTGAGGGAGTGGCTATCATGATGTCTTCAAGAGCATCGAAGGCTCTCATGCAGTGGGAACCAATCTCCTCCAGGATCATGACAGCAAGATTCAACTCAAAAGGAAGGAAGAAAGGTCACAATCATACAATGTTATGCACCTACAAATAATGCAGATGAAGAGAAAAAGGAGGAATTCTACAGACAACTTCAATCAACACTGGACAAGACGTCAGTTGGCGATATCAAAATTCTGATGGGCGACATGAATGCCAAACTTGGAGGGGACAACACAGGAAGAGAACTAACCATGGGTCGAGAAGCGCTAGGTGAAATGAATGAGAATGGAGAATTGTTTGCAGAATTCTGCGCATTCAACGATTTGGTGATTGGAGGCAGTGTGTTCAGGCACAAAGATATCCACAAAGCGACATGGATTTCACGAGATGGACACACTAAAAATCAAATCGACTTTATCTCAATCTCAAGAAAATGGAGACGCAGTCTACTTAACACAAGGTCAAGAAGAGGAGCAGATGTAGGCTCAGACCACTACCTAGTGCAAGGAACCTTCGAAATCAAGTTAAAAGCCTTCAAGGAAGCTGGTGATAGACCTCAATTCAAGTACAACACTCGGAAACTGAAGGATGAAACTACAAAGGAGATCTTCAAGGCAGCCATCAAGACAAAATGGGAGACATCGAGCAACATCCCTGAAGAAACCTGTGTGGAAGAACACTGGAAGTCTTTGAAAGCTATGTGGAAAGAAACCTGCACAACAGTATTAGGAAGGAAGAAGAAAGAAGACAAGGAATGGATCTCGACGGATACCTGGAAGCTGATAGAGGAGAGGAGGATGGTGAAGCAGAAGATAAACCAGTGCAAGGATGCTCAGCGACAAGAGGAACTGAGCACAATGTATAAAACACTGAAAAAAGAAGTGAAGAAGAGTGCACGCAAAGACAAAAGACATTTCTACGAAACACTGGCAAGTGAAGCAGAACAGGCTGCAGGTAAGAGAGACCTGACGACATTGTATCAAATAACCAGGTTGCTATCAGGGAAGAGACCAACACAGATGAAACCAATAAAAGATGAAGAAGGAAATTTAATTACAAAAGAAGAGAGACAGAGGAAACGATGGGCCGACCACTTCAAGAAGCTCTTGAATCGACCACCACCTGCACTTCGTCCAGAAATATCACCTGCAGCCGCTGAACTACAAGTGAACATAAATCCCCCAACGAAAATGGAAGTCCTGAACGCCATAAAGCTACTGAAATGCGGGAAAGCAGCAGGACCAGATGGAATACCGCCAGAAGCACTGAGAACAGATGCAGAGACAACAGCGGACATGCTCACACCATTATTGCAGAAGGTGTGGAAGGAAGAGAAGGTACCTGACGATTGGAAGAAGGGTTACCTTGTCAAACTGCCGAAGAAAGGAGACCTCAGTGTTTGCAAGAACTGGCGCGGAATCACTCCTGTCCACCCCAAGTAAAATATTAAGCCGCATCATCCTGGAGAGGCTTAAAGACGCACTGGATTCAAAACTGCGACCGGAACAGGCAGGCTTCAGGAAGTACAAATCATGTGCAGACCAAATTGCAACGCTTCGTATCATCATAGAACAGAGTATAGAATGGCAATCAGCTCTCTGCCTCAACTTCATCGACTTTGAGAAGGCCTTTGACAGCGTCGACCGAGAAGTAATTTGGAAACTGCTTCAATACTACGGAGTACCGCAAACCTTTATCCGCCTCATTCAACAACTATATGAAGATGCCACATGCCAAGTAATTCACAATGGGAAGCTCAGTGATGCTTTCGAAGTGAAGACAGGAGTGAAACAAGGTTGCCTACTATCCCCCATGATATTCCTTATTGTCGTCGACTGGATCATGCAGCAAACAGTGGGGAGCTGTGAGAAGAGGGGGATACACTGGCTGGACTGCGGAAAAGAACCTAGAAGATCTGGATTTCGCCGACGACTTGTGCCTGATGTCACACAAACTTGAAGATCTACAGGCGAAAACTAACAAGTTGACAGAAGAGGCAGGTTAGCGAAGACGGGACTTCAGGTGAATATAGATAAGACAGAGGTGATGAAGATACCGCACCAACAACAACAAACTCCAATCACCGTCAACGGGAGAAACTTAAAGGAAGTAACCTCCTTCACTTATCTAGGAAGCACTGTCTCAACTACAGGCCGGACGGACGAGGACGTCAAAGTCAGAATCGGAAAAGCAAGACAGGCGTTCATTAGCCTGAAACCAGTGTGGAGATCTTCTGCACTGCACTCAGCATGTGGAACAAGATACGGATTTTCAACACCAACGTCAAGTCAGTGCTTCTGTATGGTTCAGAGACTTGGCGCGTTACGAAAGGGATTTCCAATAAACTACACACATTCATCAACAACTGCATACGCTGGCTCGTTACTGAAGATCAGATGGCCAGAATAACAAGAATAAGCAACAAGGAGCTCTGGGAACGAACCAACCAAGAACCTATCACCCAACGAATATGCAGAAGGAAGTGGAGATGGATTGGGCATGCATTGAGAAGGCCGACTGGGGACATCATGCGTCAGGCCCTCGAGTGGAATCCCCATGGGAAGCGACGAGTTGGACGTCCAAGGGTGACATGGAGGAGGTCATGCGAGGAGGAAATGAGAGCTTCTGGGCTGTCGTGGGACCAGGTTCAAAAGATCTCAGAGAACAGAGATCACTGGAGGCGTGCTACTGAAGCCCTATGTTCCACTAGGAACCCAAGGGACTAATAATAATAATAATAATAACAAGAAAGGGCGGATTGAAGCGCAGTATACTTGTTTCTTTATAGATAGATAAGTCGCCAGTGGGCAGTGGAGATGACGCAAATTGGTGAGTACCAAACAGGCTTTCTATATCGTCAGCAACCTGCCCGTTCAAGCTGATACAACTCTCCAAGTAAGTGAAGTGGTTGACCCATTCGTCCACTTCACTCCCTATCCTTATACTAGGAGTAGTTCTAAACCAGTCCTTTAGCATCATCTTACATGTGATAGATGCAAAACATGCTCACACTTTTCTCAAAGCGTTCAGAAGATCCTGTATTTTGTCAGTCTCTTCACATAACAGGACAATGTCATCTGCATACTCTAAGTCAACCAGATAATCTCCAAACAGTAGGTCAATCCCTATGCAGTCAGACGTACCTAAAGTTATGTTTGTTAGTACCTCTATGACGAAGTTGGACAAGAACGGTGACAGTATTGAAAAGTATAATAATCTAAATAATTATTTATTGATGTGCTCGTAATTCTCCGTTGTTATACTGGATCGAATTGTTCAGTCTCTGTTGGCATATTGGCTCCTATGAGGATGCCTGAATATTAATTATGGTAATTTACTTGGTTTTGGCTAGTAGAGGACGCGCGTTTCGTCTTATTTGGGACTCGTCAGTTGGATGTACCTGTATACCAGTGAGTGGTGTTGTCCCCAATTGCAGGACAATTCGATCCAGTATAACAACGGAGAATTACAAGCATATCAATAAATATTAGTAACGAATGCGCGTTATACAAGAGATGGCTATCATGCCTCCTTGGCTTAGTGGATAACGCCTTGGCATTTGAAACGAGGTTGGAGTCTGAGTTTGGAACAACAGCACTAATCACTAGGATGCAGGTAAATCCAGCTGATGAGTCCTAAATAAGATGGAACGCG